TGTTGGTGAAGAAGTGTAAGATTCCTCAAAGCTGTCACCACTGGTAGACCACGAACCCGGTCCCATGTGTGACGAGTGTCTATGCCATCCCAAGCTCACACTGAAGGGTGAAGCTGCCCTCTGGCTGTTGTGACGCGATGACCCAGACCCAGTAGGATACGAGTTCGACACGAATCCCAACATTGGCGGAGGCGAGTTCGAGTTCCTTTTCCTCTGCAACATCCGCTCGTCGAGGCTCCCGCGCATGTACAAGTTCTCATCCGAGCCCTGAACACCCCAACCGCACGAGCTCCCACAATTCGCCTGTTGCTGGCAATCGCTGATGAATGGCATCAACACGCTCTCCTGCATAAGCTCGTAGACAATGTGAACTGCTGAGTCGAGTGATTCTGGTGGAGGGGGGATCTGGTTTGTTGGGATCGACAAGATGTGGTTCCTGACTGTGCACGGCAAGTTCACCTCCTTTGGCCCATTGGGCACAATGTAAGTAGCCATCAACCTCTGCCAAAGCATCCGCACGTATTCACATCCTTTGCTCTCGGGTGTTGGTGGAGTGTCGTCGCCAGTGATCGCTTTCCAGTGGTCCTTGTAGCGTCCAGCATCCATTGTAAACTCCAAAGTCTCCAAGCAGTGATTCTGTGAAAGGTACGCTGTAAAGGCACTCAATGTGTAAGGAGCTGGTGCATTTCCATTCAACACCTCCGATAATGAAGGTCTCTTTACGCAGTAAGGTCCTGATGAATATCCCGAGCTCAAGGGCCGGCTGCTGCAGCTACTCGACATTCTCTCGTCGTCTGTGTCTGGTTCAGGTGAAGGGGTTGTTCGGTTTGCAGGTGAAGTTTCGCGGGACGAAAGGGAAAGGTTCAATGAAGGCGGACGGCGTGATCTGCGGCCAGACATATTTGATATTTTTTTTATAAAAAAAAAAAAAGAATGAAACTATTTAGAAATCCACCACCGAGTTGTAACGAGAGACAGTTGATGGGATGGGGGGGAGGAGGTTATTGAAGTAGGTGTGGATGAGTGGCTGTTATGATGTATGTGTATGATGTATGTGTTTGACGGATCGAGTCAAGGCGTGGGTGGACTGAATGGAAGACAGTTTAGAAGCGTGGGGAGAGCGCTAAATAACAGTGTTAGAGAATGGCATTGGGCTGTGAGTTTGTATATCATTCGGAAGCCCACCTTGTACTGCGGGCGTTGTTGAATAGATAAAGGGGGGGTGGGCAGGATGTTATGTACGAGGGAGGGTAGGGACCGTAGTGACTGGGGGGGGGAAGGGTTAAGAAGGAAGAGGGAGGTGTGAGTGAGTGAGTGTGGTGGGTGTGTGTGAGAGTAGAGAGTCCGTGGGTCCCTAGCTGTAGCCCATGTACGTCGGTCTACTCTACAGACACTCACTCCACCGGCCGACAACCGACACTGACTGGGAAGTGGAGCGGAGGTAATGAATAATAATTCAACTACCCAGCAAGTTGAGGCGCCTGTTTCCTTCAGACTACGCTTCCTCACCCACCCCCCTTCTCGTTACCTGTTCCAGGTAGGCAAAAACAATAATCTCTGCAGTTGACGAGCCAGTCCGATAATCTTCCGGGGTCTAACAAAAAATGGTTTTTTGTGGCCTGCCTTCTTCCCTTAGATCTGGTCTTATCTTCTCGAAAAACTACTTTAGCTCCCGCCCCTGCCCTCGATGATGATGGATGGTGACGGTGACTTGATCACTGAGTATGATAAAAATAAAAAAGAGGTCCTAGACTCCTACTCTAGAATGCTTGCTTGCTGCAACTAATTTTTCGGCAGGCTGCAAAAAAAAAAAAATTCTCTCTCTTCGGAAACAAGCGTTAAATAAAGGATAATTGGGCAGTAACTGATACGACAAAAAATACAAAAAGACTTCCAAGTCTTCTTCTAAAGAATTAAGGAGAATAGTACATAGTAACAGATTAAGCAAGCAAAGCCAAAAAAACAAATTGGCTGGTGGGCTTCAAGTTGCCCTATACAGTTTTCCCGAGGAACGAACTGAACGGTGGCAATGCGAAGATAGAATACAGAAGAGCAGGCGAACAGAAAAATGGGTTACAGAAACTACTAGGCAATTCGAGAGGTGTGTGTGAGTGGAGGTATGGATTGGTATGGGTATGGGGGGATGTGTGAGACCCGTCTGGTATGGTATGGTGTTGCTTGTTTACTATGACTGGCTGAGCAGCAGCCCAGGAGGGGTTGCTTGTCTTCTGTCTGTAAATGCTGTAAATGTGCAGATTGGGGAGGGGTCTAGACGCATGTAAATGATCTTGGTACAGAATTCGACACGAACCTTGACCACCACAAACCCTTGTCCGTGATTCGAGGCAAGGGACTGGGTGATGAATTCTTAGGTACGGTAACTCACGCCGCTAGTTACGGTACACTACGGTGAAGGCAGAAAAGAAAGGCTGTCGCGGTGAGATAGTGGTAGTAAACCTGGATTGACCTGTTTGTTTTGGGTTTGGGTAAGGGCTGGGGTTCGAGGGAGGGGGATTTGCTGACGGGGGCTGGCCGTTGCCCGTCAATTGGCTCTAATCCAAAACAGCATACAAGCGCCGTTCCACAAAGTTGTCTGATCTTGACAGAAGCTGCTGTTGAGAATCGCGAGACTATGGTGTGCCTTGGATGGGAGAAATCAAATCACGCCGGGAAAAATACCCGTTTTTTTCTTTCTCTGCAAGGGATCATGGAAAATTCGTTTACATATCTACATACTGATAAATGGGGGAGGGGGTAGAGGGAAAACATTCCTGGTCGAAAAGAGAGAAAAAGTGAGAACTGAGGTCCATGATCCAATACCCTAAGTCACGACTCTTGAAGGATACCTGCATTAAAAGTAGTTTTCTTGGGACCGCCCATACGCCTACGTGGATACCACTACAAAGGAGAGAAGACCGACTGGGAAGTAAAGGGATGGGCGCAGGAAAAAAATAAAAAATAGAGGGAAAAATAAGAAAAATGAGTGAGGTCCTGTGAGATGAATAATAGCCCCGTAAAGTAAATTCGCAAGACACAAGGGGAGCAAAAAAGTGGATCCTCATCATCAAGCTCTGAAGGGGCAGAAGCAGTAGAGTGGAGACAGTTACCACTCTAGGTCGTGGTGGAGTAGGTAGGATGAATGCACTTTGGCATGCCTGCCCGCTTTTTGCTTGGTTTTGCTGACAAGGTCCCAGAATACCCCAAGTCCGAGACACAAATCGGGCCAGCCCGAATCCCCTTCTACGGCAACTTCCTGAATGAGAGTTCGATGGGAGAACCCGCTTCCCTTTCGGCCTGGAGAAGGAGGGAGGGGGAAAGGGCAGTAACGACGTTCTAACAATAAGCAAAGGGGAGAAAGAAGAAAAAAACGATACACACGGAGCTGCTGCGAAAGAACACTCAGCGAAGTCCAGGAAATCCAACTCCGGTGAGAAGATCATCACGAGAGTGGTCAGCGTCTTACCATGGTTTCACATAGTGGCTGGTGAGCCTCCTCCTCTTCCTTCCAGACAGGTTGCTGGCCAGGCCAAGGAACAACATTTTTGGTCGCTGCTACTTTGCTGCGAGCCATGATTACTCTATGGTGCTTGTAGGGGTCTCACCTCACAGTATCCACCATGCACGTGTCGCAAGGCCATCGTCTCCCCTGTAATTCTGTGCTGCCGCAACAAGAGACGAAAAATAAAAGAGGGAAGGGAAAATGTGAAATGTGATATTTGAACTTAAAACTGAAGAAGAAGATGTGAGAAGCCGGTATGGAAGGACGCTCTGATAGGAGCCCCATGAAAGGCTAAAATCTCTTTCAGGCATTCACCTAACCGCTCACGACAATTCACAGGGGATCAGTCAACAGATAGATACTTAGCAGCAGAACAGAACCACCACTCAGCATCAGTCAGGACTCTATTTCTTTACACCCGCAGGAAAAGCCCTGACAAGGGACCAAACAACGTGTGAGCTGACTGCGCCAAGCCTTTAATTGCCATCGGGCGACCACTCAAAACGCAGGCGACGTCAGTTAAGTTGGTTGTTGGTTCCACATTCTCTCCCTCTGGACCCTCTCTTTCACGCTCTCTCTTGAGAATCTCTAGGTATCTATCCCCGTAGAAAAGAAGTAGATATCCATCATGATGATGGATGATGCCGGTGTGGAAGCTCCTGTTCCTGTAGCGAATCATTGCCTCGGCGAACCCTCCGGTTCGAGAAGTCGTTCCCCACCCCCCAGTCCCTGAGCCAGTCCCTGATAGGCTCGGGGTGCAGTGTCACTTTTGGCACCTTGCCGTGTTCGGGTGAAACTTCCAATCGACGTTAGGGATGATTCCACCCATTACGCAACTGGTCAGTCGTCTTTCTGCCCTCATTCTTCCATGAATCCTTCCAGAAGCCGTCGATCATTCGTCCAATTCCAACTTCCCTGTCCGGAGCGCGCGATGATTGTCTGCAAAAGCTTGGCAGGTACTAAAATCTAGTTATTCGAATTCCGCCCCCAACTGAACTGGACTAGAGTAGGTAAGGTATCCCTTCCCCGCTTAGCTCTGGACCCGTCTTGTCCTGGTCCTGACTGTCCGTCCTCGGTTTGATTAGGAAGTTCGTCATACCCTCTACATATGTACATCAACACTATAATTAACAGCCCACCAATCATCACACGTGCATCGTGAAACTTTCTGGAAAGTCCAATATTGTCATTTCTCTGTTCAGCACGGAAACACTAAACACTAAACACTAAATAAACATCCAGCTGTGGTCGCGTGGCAGGGGCAGAAGGGGGAAAAAAGGGTAAACACACAAACATGTTTTCTTGCCCCTCTCACCTTACTTCTCTTTCAGACAGATCAATCACACTTTCAGAAATTCTAGGGTTCAGAAAATAAATAATAAAAATAATAATAAAACCAAAAAGGACATTTTTCTGTGCCTCATCCCAATTTAACTTCAATTTACCCTCCAGAGTAAGCACTACCATAAAATTGTCAAAAACAGTATCTTTCAAGCGCTCATCATATATCCTTCTTTGCCTCGTCCCCCCCAGATCTGATCTCATCCTTGTCCTTCCCTGCGTCTATGGAGCATATGCCAACCCGATATCCGGGCTTTGTTTCGAGAGCTGCCGTACCCAGGTCCCATCCCACCGCCCTCAGCTGCCCAACAGTCGTCGCAAACGACGTGCCCAAATCGAATAATGTGGTTTCAATCACACCGAGTATCTCCTCGTTTGTGAGCGGCGGCGACAACGACGACGACGACGACTTCTTCTCGCTATTGTTGTCGTTGTGGTGGTGGTGGTGGTGGTGGTGGCGAATCTTTTTAGCCACAAACAGGGCGTGCACCCAGGCCTTTAGCTGCTCTTCCGACGTAATGTCATTTTTAAGACAAATTGTGACTTCTCGCTTCCGCGCATCATACCACAATAGATGCTTCTCATTTCGGAACACTTTGGCGATATCGTGGATGCTGATTGCCGGTGCCGGTCGAGAGGATGGAAAAAGCCCGCCTCGAGCTCTAGAATGTCCGCCTCCTCCCACTGTTGGGAAGCCACCACCACCACCCCCATCTCCACCGGAGGCAATAGCGGCGGCCAACTCGCAGAATGTTGCCCCGATCCTCGCAAACCCGAGCACTTCCGACTCCCTCCACCGCAACACGCCATCTCGCTCAAATATCCGCTCGAGTCTGGCCGCCCGGGCAGGCGTCACCATATTGGCTCCGGTGGTGCCACTGGTGTCGTCGCTAAGCCTGGAGAAGACGATATTGGCCCGCTGACGGTTCAGGGTGCGCAGCGCTACCGAGGTGACCGCCATGTAATTCGTCCCCAGGTGTAGCGCCAGAAGGAGCGTTAGCGACACCCATGTCGCCCATGTCGTGGTGATGTGCCTGACCACGAAACTTCCTGCCTACATACAGAGCCGCGCGAAGGAAGAAGGGGGGGAAGTCAGCCATCATGCATGCGACTCTTTCTCGATCACGTCTCACATTGACAGATTGCGGATCTTGGTTCACGAAATCTCACCCCATATCCCCATCCAACCCCCCACCCTCTCCCCATCTCCCCATCTCATCCCATCTCATCCTATCCCATGCTCGGCTCTGGGAATAACCTTCCTGTGGACCACTCATATGGCGCCGGACAAGGGCGGAAAACCTCAGGGCACCAAGCCAAGGGGTGGAGGGGGGACGGGGGACGGGAAAGGGAAAAGGGAACACAGAAGGGGAAGGGGGGAAAAAAAAATAAAAAAATAAAATTTCAAGCTGAAACGAGCCGACTCACCAACATACCCATCAACCCAATCACGGTTTCCTGACTCGAGTCCTAAACGGGGAACAAAATTCAAATCTCAGCACTTTCAAATTACAAGCAACAACTATGTACGCCTGTACATACTCCATCCCTCTCTCTTCCCCTCGTTCGCAAGGACTTGCCTTTGCGTTCAACTCCCCAACGTTTCCCGCCCTGGCAAAGTGAACTGATAAGCTCGCCTTGGAGCCGCCTCCCGCCACACCACACGCCGCACGCAGGGACCCCGACAGGCACAGCAATACGATCTTGACAGGCCCTGGAAACGCGGGTGACAAACAGTCCAAGATCATGGCTGAGTCGTTGAATACGTCTGCTGCCAGGCGGTACTTCTTACATTCCGCCTCCAAGGCAACGCCGAATCGGTACGCGAATAGGATGGTAGCGAGGCGGCTTACACTGTCTGTTTGGGGGTTGTGAACAATACCAAACCCCGATAGCCGGGTAGTAGTAGTCGTCGTCAGTCAGTTCTGTTTAGTTCCCCCCAACCGCCCATATATGATGACCCGGTGAAGAAAGGGCAAACGAGGGCAGAAAGAAAAAAAAACTCGTGTCTATCTGATGATTGACCAGGAACGAATCAAACACAAAGAAAGCGAAGTACGAATCTTACCTTGGACAATAGTGAGCAGCAAGGCGCCTGTTGCGGAAGCATTTGCATCACTTTTTGGGGGCACAGAAGGGGGATATCAAATCAGTTACAAAACCCTTTCAAATCTCAGTAATAACAGTAATAATCAAAAATAAGCCTTGTAGCCCTGTGGGTTTAAGCTAGCTTTGAAAGCAGCAGCAGCTACTAATAATAATAATAATAATAAGGCATTCAAATAATCATAGCGCGCGTGGGGTTAGGGATAGGATAGCTACCCGACGCCGAATCCTAAAAGAGAACTCAAGGTCAATATCACTGTTCCAGACGGTTTCCTAAAACACTGGGAATTCGTTTCGAACCCTGAAGAACTGCCCGAGATGTCAGGAGGCCGGCAATGGACGAGGAAAATGCTTGCAGCGAGTCCTAAAGGGCGGTAAACGCGATATCAAACCTTCGGTTAGACTTCAACTTTCCCTGACCTGGGGAGGGGACCGGGGAAGGGGGAAGCTCGAAGGGGGGGCGGGGAGGTCCAAAGAGCTATCCCCCCCCCCCCCCAGTAGGTATGTAGGTAGTAGATGTCTCACATAGATTTGATATCTAAACCAAAACATGCGCATGATAAGTCAGCTATGAACAATGCCAATACGAGTTTGGTTTCCCCTCCAAAACAGAAAAAAAAACGTGCTCGAACAAAAAATATGTACAAGGGTCCGCCCGCCGCACCATATGAAATTCAAATGTCGTCACCAGGAATGAACAAGGTGTCTTGGTTATCAAAGGACCTTCTTCTCGAAAGCGCTTGGCTTGGCTTAGTGCTTTGGTTTGGGGGCATTGGGCTGGGGCTTAAAAGACATGAATACGGAACTGCGCCCAAGGCGGTAGCAAGGAGCTTCCCTCCCGATACGTACTCTCTCTAGAAAAAGCTTCCAGAAGGAATGGAACAGGAGCAGGAACGCAATTGCGTACCTATATGACTGTTCGCGCCCCCCCCACCGAGTACGCACGAAGGTAAGGTAAAGGAGAGAACACACCACAGAACACACAACAGCAACAATAAGAAAAGAAACCGACAGGACACATACCCAACATAGTCGCCCGACACGCTCGCAGGAAACCCGGCCGGTAGGAAAACGTTGAGGAGTCGCTGGGCGTATGACACTGTATCCTCCGGTACCTGTCATTCCATCGCCCCCAACCCCAATGCCTCGATCAGCAAGGCCATAGCTACTAGGTACGTAGCTAGCTAGACAGCTAGACAGCTAGACAGCTAGCTAGTAGGTAGATTGTAGACTCAGACTCAGAAGTCATAGCCACCCACTAGGTACACTACAACACGATCCCCCCCTCCCCCCTCCCCCTCCGCCCAATTGCGCAACCAAACCAGAAGAACAGTAGTCATGCCTACCTCCGGCCTCTCTCTCGCGCGCGCGCACGAGAACGGACCGGAATTGAAAACATGGGGGGGTTGGGCGCGTGGAGGGAGGGAGGGAGGGAAAGTTTACTACAACTAAGCTACTAGCTAGCTGACATGGGGGTACTTACGACGACAGTGAAAGGTCCCCCGTCAGCCAGCTCGGTGAAGACCGCAGTGATGTTTCCGGCCTCGTCGCGCTCTGTGAGCTCTAAGCCCGCGGTGGTGGTGGTGGTGGTGGTGGCTGGTGGTGGTGCAAGGACGTCGTCCATGGTCAGTCGCGCGGTGGCTGTGTGGGTGTAGGTTGAGGTTGAGTAGACAAGGCTTCCAGGTAGCAGTGACGTTGGGAGGAGTCTGAATACCTCTACGTCGCGCCGTATGTAGATCGAGTAGGTATGTCTGTCTGTAGCTGTGGACGGTGTGGTGGACGGCGGCGTGGTGGAGGGTTGGGCAGATGGGTGGGTGGGTGGTGTGCAGCTGCAGCAAACCAAATCAAATCAAATCAACGTGTAGTTTCCCTCCGTCGGTTTAGCCGGTTCCTTGCGGGCCCTCTGCCCACCCCATCCATCCATCTGCCCACTGCCCACTGCCCACTGCCCACTGCACCCAACCCAACCCAACCCAACCCAACCCAATCCACCAACCTGCCTCCGCCTGCGCGTGTGTCTGTATGGCTGCCTCTGTCTCTGTGCAGTATCTCTATCTGCACTGCTGCAGCGCACGGACCAGCGAACCCTTCCTTTCCCTTCATCATCGCCTCGCACATGCCAAACACATGTGCAGAAGGCTTGCTTGCGGGAGCGTGCGCGCGCGCAAAGACGTCAGTCCATCACGTATCGAACAAAGAAAAGAAGCAACGATAGGCGATAGCTAAGCTAGCTAGAGCAGATAGCTAGAGTAGATCTACTAGCAGCGAGCTGTGTTACTAGCTGGAGATAGCTGCGGGCTCATGCTCATGCTCATGGAGAGATAAGGAAGCGCCTGCGCAGGGCCGGGCAGTGGGGTTTGGTTTGCAATAGTGGGTTAACTGATTTGTCTAGCAATTGCCTGGCCTCGACTCGGTAGCTTCCCCCACGTACGCATGTGTGCTTTACAAAGATTAAAGAATAGCTAGCTACTGTAGTTAGTTGGACAGCCAAACAGTGCACAGACCGAACTCGGACAGAAAGATAGACAGCAGATAGATAGATAGTTAGATAGATAGATAGGTACAATGTAGTTACACGAATAGAACCGTATCCCCCATATCCTTCAGATCAGACCAGACCAGCCCATGACCAGTTATTTAGAAACCCCCCATTTTCCAATGAACCCCGCCAATCCCCGCGATAAGCAAAAAAAGGAAAAGAGAACAAAACGCTAACACCGGTGAAACAGGTAAAGGAAAGAAAAATAGTAGTATAGTAGTAGTAATAGTAGATAACGTGTGGTAATGATCGATAGATCCGTAAATCCGTAAATGATGACCCGCGCCAGACAGAGAACCCGAAACCCGATACCCGATACCCGAGCTTTTGTTTTTTGGTTGACAGATGAAAAAGGTGTGTAGGGACAACAAAAAGAGGGTTGATTGATTATGCATGAATCCCTGCAGAACCGTTGTGTCGTAGATACCCCGGTCGTAAAAAGAGAAAAGGAAAATTTTTTGTAACCCCCGGCACCGTAAAAGAAACTTTTTGACCCGCTACCGACCGATCGGCTGCGCGCAGGAAGGAGATGGCCGTATTATACATTTTTTAATTCCCTGTCCGCGCGCCGCCGACACCGTTCCGATTACCCATTTTCACATCCGTGCCGAAATCAAGATCGAGAGAGAGAGAGAGAGAAAAAAAGCGCGAGGGCATATCTAAGCAAACGCACCCCCGCTCTCAACCACATCCATCTCCTCCTTGCTCAGCGCCAGCCTCCAGAAGCGCACTGGCAGGTCGCTGCGGTCAAATGCCTGGCCCTCGGAGGGCTGGATGGACGAGTGCGCGGAGGTGTTGGTCTTGTAGGCTAATGGCCCGTGCTGCTGTGCCTTCTGGCGGTACTCGGCGAAGGAGGTGGGGAGCTTGTTGGTTGGTGCTTGCGGGTGCGGGCGCGGGGTGTGGTCAATGCTTTCTGGATTTCCAAAGTCAGTATTTATTTTTTGCTTGTTTTGTTTGGTAGAGGGAGGAGGGAAACATACGGGGGGCGGTGCGCTTTCCGAGGAACTGAATCATGGGAGTACGGCCGACGGGGCTGGCACGGAGAAGACGGGTTGCGTTCATTTTTGTGGTTTGGTGGGGGATGAGCGATCGGTGGTGAATGTAGTTTTTTAGGTGTGTAGTGAGTGTTATGAGTTGGGAGACTTGGGGAACTCGAGGGGAGAGGAACTCGGGATCCTTTTTAAAGCTTGTGAAAGAACCTAAGTGTTCGGAACGGAACCGGGACAAGAGTTAATGGCGCGAATCGAGGCGGGGAAGACGTATGTATGGGGGTTTTTTGATGGTGGTGGTGGGGTGATTTGCAATCGTACTCTAGAAGTAGATATCGGGGGTAGAATGGGAGAGATGTATTTAGGAATAGTAAAGCTAGTAGAGAGCGCTGGGACTGGATTGGAAATCGTAAACAAAGTTTGCTAGTAAATCCTGGGTGACGAGGTACTTTCTTTTACTCTTGCGACGGAGGAACCCGGGTAGCTGTAGTTACTCTACTCTTGCAGGTGGGATGGATGGTGGTGGTGGGCTGGTACTCTACTCTCCCAGTGAGTGAGTCTTCTCAGTGGTGGGACGACACCTCAACCATCAAATTAGTACAAAGAGCATCGTGAAAGATAACGGGTCCGGGGAAGGTGGGTGCTTACCTAGTGCCAAGCCCACCGTCAACATGGTTCCAAATCGAACAGAAAAAATCCTTGACAAACACCAAAAAATCGAATTATTCCACGATTATCGAAACTTGTACACATTTCATTGTGTCGAGTCCGTTAAAAACCCAGGTAGACAACCCATATCCCGCGGCCGGCCCAGCTAGCTGCGCATTGCATCGTGGGGAAAGGGAAAAAGAAATCGCGATCCATCGAAAAACTCGGCCGCTTTTTTTGTTTCAGAAACATCGTGCCCAACCCCGCCACGAGGTACCGTATCTAACTACCCCACCAAAAGCCGAAATCGAAACTCGAGAAATTATCACCTGAAAAAGCTAAAACCCTATGTATGCACACATCCAACCCAGATGGCCGACATCTCTACTCTAGAGCACGAGTCAACCCAGTTCCTGTTTGCCTTCCCAACTCTGTTCGTTGCAACCACGTTTTAGCTCTCGATGCTAGGGCCCACCGCTGATCCCTCGCCATGCTCCCGCCATGGCAAACATTCGGTCACTCCCTCCCTCCTCGCTACCCTACCGACGCGAGCCAAAGATAAGGATCATCCGCCTCTGATTGGCTGCAGCCTGCGCGATTGGGTAAAGGCAGGAATAATCTACCCAGCTCCGGCAGGGGAACCTCATTTTTTTGCTCCTTCCTTCCTTTGCGGGGTACGGATCGCATCGTGCGACGTGAGACGTGAGGAGGGAGAGGTGGTGAAAGAAAAAACAATTTATTTTTTCCCTTCACTTTTCTCTGGGCGAGAAACCAAACCAAACCACCATGGCTGAACCATCATGAGAAATCGCAGTTGTCATTTCCTTTAGCCAGACGCCCCTGGTCCCCCCAAAATATTTACACCCGGACGGGATACTTCGTCATATTCATGGCGCCTCCAACTCTAGCTTCGTCTACGTACGAATGACGCAGCCAACCCGCGGAGGCCACCACAATCTCCTCCTCCTCCTCCTCCTCCTCCTCCTCCTCCCTACTCCTCCAAGCTATCGATAGCTAGCCTGTACCTACTAGTACTCTACAGTTGAGAGAAACTTCCTTTCGCCCCGCTGGGCAACACGATACCTTATCTGCGCACGTTGGAAGCTTATGCACTTCCAGCCCCACCTGCACAAACCCCTCCCCTTCCCCTTCCTACCGGGTTTGTTCATTTCTCAAGCCAGGTTGTAGTAAGGTAAAACCTCCACGCTGGCCACTTCTTCCCCCACAGTCAAGTTTCTGTCGTTTTAAAACGGCGGTGAGTGGGAATCAGAGTGGTGAGCCCTTGCCATGGCCTGGACAGCCTGGCTCAATAGCGAGATAATTAGCGAGGAATTTCTGTTTGTTCGCACCCCCTGGAAATTGGATGGAACAAAGGTCAAATATGTAGAGCTCTGAGAAAGGGAATTATTTCTCTCGCTAGCTACCTTGAACCTTGCTGGATCTCACTCCCACTGCGAAGTGAAGAATCGATGTGAGTCGGTTCCTGTTACATACGGACAAGTATGTATCCCTTCTGCCTTGAACCCTTGAACACAGGGTTCGTGGGAAGCAGGGTAGGGTCACATATGTAGAGTATCAACCAGCGCCGCAATTATTGGACGAACCACCCATTCTCCCGAGAACCAAGCTTTTCAAAACCGACTTCCATGCTGTTGTACGACAGGACTTGAACCTCTCACCGAAGATACGCCGATACCATGTATCTAGGATATGCCAGTTGGGGGAAACGGGAACTTAGGGGTAGATTTGTTCCTCTGTATCTAGTGCTCTACACTCAGTAAGCACCTGCATATCGGTACGTACCGCTACTCAGAGCAGAGGCGGATAATTATAGATCTGTGAGACTGCGATTCATTATGTGCAGCTGTCAGAAACCAAGATCGTTAGATTGCCTATGCCTAGGTAGAGTACCTATATAGAGTACCTCTACCTTTGACCCGCATGCCCTACCTACCTATCCTATCCTATCCTATCTGAAGCCCTACCTATATAAACCCGTAATATAGGTAGAGGATGGTACTCTAGAGCACCTACATAAGTGCTCTGCCTACATGAGGTTCAGACCTACATCGTTACCATCGATCCCGAGGTTCGAGGTAAAGTACGTTGAACGCCATGCCCTTTTTGCGTCATTTATGGTGCATACGTCAACGACGATCCATATGCTCTGCTCAAGCAGAGGGAAACTTTGAGCGATCAGACTCTCTTTCATCCGATCTTGAAGGTAGAAGGTCTAGAGTTCTGCAACGCCTGATTAGTCGGTAATGACCATAATAGGTGAATTAATAGTGAGACAGCACGTGGGAAGCAATAATCACCCTTAAATTCTTCGATCCAAGATTATATTATCTTATTTTATTGCGGATATTTAGGGCTGGGAGATTTTCTGTACATACTACCCGTTAATGGAGCTCATCATGGAAGCTCAGATAGTCTTGTCTATATTTG